TTAAACAAACCACTCACTTTCCGATGATTTCCTCCTTTACACAAATGAACAAGATAAAACAAACAGAGATCCACCGTGTCGTCATGTCACATAATCTCTGCCTAATGCGTTTGAAGTGTGAAATGTGACAAATAACAGTGAAAAGGAAACAATCTGATTGATTCCAGAGCGTGTTGAACTCTGTCAGGATCATTTTCCACATCACCAGCTCTTCCCTTCTGCTCTCTGTTAATATTATTTTTAATAATTGTTGATCTCCAGCATGGAAATGCAGCACTCTCCACATTTACCAGAAGCTTTTTTTTTTTTTTTTGCAGTAATAGGAGGAAAACTCAACTTTTGGTTTCAGCACATTTATTTATTGGTGGGGGGAATCTCCCGTGAAGACGTTTCTTTTAGTTGTTTTTACAAACTCACAATTCCTCTCGCCCTCAGCGATAAATCAGAACTCATTTTTAAATTTAGATTTATTTAAAGCGACATTTCTAGGAGCTAATGAGCGTTTTTTTTTTTAAATTTTTTTTTTTTTTTTTTTTTTTTTTTTTTTTTTAAACAGAATCCCTAAAGGGACATTGGAGGGAAAAAAAAACTATCTGGTGCGCATGAGAATTTGTATTTTTTCCTTCAGTGTCCATGTAGGGACACACTTCAAAAATGAAAGAGACAATGGAACCTAGTGTTGAAGTGAGGCATAAAAATATATACCAGACTAAATGCCCCCAGTGTGAGAGATGAAATTATGAGATAATACTGCAAAAAAAGATTCACTCGAATCCAAAGATGTGGAGGATGCTGTCGCTGGATGACCACAAACTGCTCACAGATCGTAGATAAAATATATAAAAATAACCAAATATATTGATGCAAAAACGAGTGATTCTAACAGTAGGGATGTGAAGCAAGCTGTCCTGCTTCTGTTGGTTTGTATGAAATGAATGAGCTCCCTGATTGGCCAGGTGGCCACCAGAAGACCCCAGTGTTTTTCTACCTTCTCCTACTATAAAGTAGAAATGAATTGGTTTATCTTCAAATAGAACTCTTTAGTTGTATAGAAAATTAATATTTTGGGGAAAAAATAAAAAAAAAACTCCCATTTGCCATGGTTAAGATTGTTTTTGTTTTTTTGTTTGTTTTTTTCCAGACACTTGAGTGTGAAAACCTTGTTTTTAGAAGACAGTTGTAAATAGCACATGAAACTACATAGGGTTCCTTTTTGTATTTACAATAACCAGAATTGATGACAGCTGCTCTGCAGAACGACTAACTTCTTCTATCTCTCGATACTGTAGGTGGTTTCGTTCAACTGTAAATGGTTTATAAATATGTGGCTCCTACAGTCTGGCTTATTGCATTGAAATCATAAGGATCTGGATCCCATCAGAGGGGGTGACAGTTTGGTTTTGGGGTTATTTATGATTTTGTGTACATGTAGAAATACCAAGAATTTTGTGCCGTTTAATAAATCCTCTCCTGATTACTGATGCAGATTGATTTGCTTTTTGTTTGTATTGTATGTTTTGCATTAAAATTCATAAGGATTGTCGGTACATTATTTAAACAGGTTGTTGATTTGACATAACTAAAAACAAAATATCTTTCTTCAAAAGGTCATTGACATCAGTAAATATCTACTGTAAAATTGTTTTAATTTTTTAATAAACACCCTTTTGGATTTTAAAATGGAGATACAATTTTTACAAAATGTCTGTTTTTGGAAACCTTCCGATATTTTTAGGGGCAACACTTGATTGTTGTTCCTCCTTGTCGTCCCACACTCCTGAATCCTGGACAGCCGTAAACTGCCAAATTACAGAACTGAATAAGCAGCACTCCTATGATTGGTTTTTCTGAATCATTTTTTATGTGTTGCTGCTGTTTTTTAAAAAATGTGTAATTTTGTAATATTAAAAAAGAAGTTGAAGAAAAAGAATAATTGCTCACTAATCAGAAGTTGTTTTGGGGAAAATATACTAGTAGGAATTTGGTTTAGTTCAAACTTGCATATGAAACAATTTGCACCAGTTAATGTTGACATGAAGACTGTTTGCTTCAGGTTTTCCAATCCATTACAGACTCTGGATTGATAATGGTCCGCTGGACTCTTTGCATCTCCAACGCTTCAGAATGTGTTGAAATGTGTGAAAAGTCTCTTATCCATGAAAGTGTTGATTAGCTCCAATATGTTTCCCCTTATGATGTCATTGACCCAAAACCACCAAAGCAGAACTTTCAGGGGGGTTTTCATCTCTGAAATGTATTTTGTCAGATTCTACGGTGGAAATCAATACTTCCTCTGGCCGGCTGGACTTTGACATGGTTCACTTCTAAGTGAAAAACCACACGACTCAATCGTTTCTGTAAACATGTCTCAACTATGATGTAAAGCACTTTGAACTGCTACGCAAATAAACTTGACTACAGTGAGCTGAATATTTACCACTAAATGTCCCAAACTAAACAACATAAAACACACAAACGGTGTTTACACACCGCGTTGTTCGCTTTGCAGCTGTTTTGTTGGAAAACAGCTTCAAACTGTGACTCAGTTTATTTACTCCATCGATCCTCCGCTGACCGCTGATAACGAGTCATCCGAACTTTGCATGCTGGGGTTTGGTAGTGTGTGAGTGGGCGGGGCTTACCATATAAGGCTTAGTGGGTGGGGACATCTTAATAGCAAGTGTGTGACCAAGGGAATGTTGCGTTTAATGCGTCTCGTAAAGTATAACATTTTTGTCTTTTTGGGAATTTTGGGGGGCGATATGAATTTTTAAACTCTATCAGCTCGAGAAGAGTGTTTACAGACAACTTAAATATCAAAATGCTCATATTTTTAAGACAAATAGGACAGAGAAAAACGATTACCTGCACACACACACAAAACAACAGATCCCTCAAACGTCCTGCTTTCAGTTGTCTTTAAAGTTACACGTATGTTTAGCATTTTGATGAAAGCCAGTTAATAGTTATTTCGCAGTGGTTACTGTCTGTCACAGAGGGCTTATTTTTTACGTTTATTTTAAGAAGATAATTTTTTTCCTGTCATTGGCAATATCATTTTCGACTGTATCGAACGCAACACATCCTCCGCTAAGCTAGTGGGCTGCACAAATAAAATAAAAAACCACAGCGATCCCAGAGAAAAGACTATCTTGCTAAACTCCTCAACCAGGGTTTGTCTCTTGGTCGCAGAAAATGCTGCATCCTCAGAGGTCCCTGTCCGAGCTGCCGAAGATGTCCGCGGCCAGTCAGGTGGAAAGAGCCGTGCTGGTAAGCTCCTCCGACCGGGAGACACACAGGGACTACCTGCAGAAACACACAGCTAGCTGTCTCATCCTTACCCAGCCTATAGCCTGTCGCTTTTGGGACATTTTACTGTTCAGTTCCTGGTCACAGCAACACGATACCATCCTAAATGTTGGTGAGGCGCGAGGGCAGCAGGAGCTCGCGCTGTCACCGCCGTTAGACAGAAGGCCCGGTGTGATAGAGAGCATCACTGAACATGGAGGCCAGTAACTGAGACCAATGGGTCCAAAATACATCAATGCATAGCTAAGATGTCTGGCTTTTACTAAATCATTGCTCAATGTGTCAATTTAACCTCAGCTTAAAGCAAAACATGCCGCACTGAAAGGGGGAACCAGTTTGTTTCTTTGGGTCCACAGTGTCTTGTAAAACTATTCCCACCAACGGAACTATTCCACATCTTACCTAGGGCTGAAAGGAATGATCGAAATTACGTGATGAATCGATTTTTGATAAAGTCATTATCTTTATTGACTAATAGTGAATTGGAAAATGCAGACTCGAGAAAGGTCATTTGCTGAAAGAACAACAATTAAGCCAAAACTGTACAAAAATAGGTTACATTTAAGATGTATAGAACAACTTTTCTTCTCACAGTTCAAATTGTTTTTTTTTTGTTTTTTTTTTATTTCTAAATTACATTTTGTGCTATCCAGTTGTTTTAATCGAAAAAAAACCCCAACACTGAACAGAAAGACCTAAGCTACCAAGTGGAACAAACTGAGCTTTTCACATGTTAGAAGTCTTGTTCTAGCTGCTGATGAATCCTTTTGCTTCAAATTATCAAGCTTTCACTAAAGGACTGCATGGTTACTAGATCTTAGGCAATAGATGGTGTATTTTCTTATTTTAAAATAAATTAAATTTTAGCTTTGTGATATTGTATATAAAAAGGCTTAAGTGTTTAAATTAAAAATTCAAGAGATCCAATGGAGAGCATTTGTGAGCATCACTTCTCAGGGTTTGCACAGATTCCAAGTTGGATTTAATTCTGGACTTTGACTTGACCATGCTAACATTCTAACAGGGTCATTGTCCTGCTGGAAGGTGATCTCTGACCACAGTCTCAAGTTTTCTGACTTCCCCCTACCCCTAAGTCTGAAAAAAAAAACATCCCCCCACAAGCTGGTCTGGGTACCACCATGTGTTACCATAGAGATGACATGTTCTGGATGATGGGCAGTGATTGTTTTCCTGGAAGGCCTCCGATTGGCTCATCCTTTTCAAAATGTATAGATGATGAATTGAACAGAGCTGCAAGGCCTGGGAATTTGTTTTAAAACCTAAATGAAAATGAAAATCTGATAAAACACATTGAGGTTTGCAATTGAAATATGGCAAAATGTGAAAAAAAAAAGTCAAGGTACTTCTCCGATCTGTAAGCAACTCCCAGGTGCTTGTATTAATCTTATAGGGATTCAGTATTTTTCTCTTCTCTGCAGGAGGAGGAGTTTAACTGGCTGCTGAAAGAAGAAGTACATGCTGTCCTGAAGCAGCTTCAGGAGATCCTCAAGGTAGGAGTTGAGTTTAGTGCCAAGCAATAAAACAATTTCAGGAACTTATCAAGAAACTGAGAAAATATCAATAAGAATAACAAAGAGCTCCATTTTTTAACCATTTCTACTCCAAGCATATTTTAGTTCTCTTTAAGTGCTTGAAAGAGGAATGAAATCTTTTTATTATAAAGGATTATATGAAAACTTTTGGTCTATAATATTTAGGATGGGTAAATATTAATATATTTGTTATTAAGAATGCTAACATCATAACCCCTTGTTCAGAAGTAATATGGTTTAAAAAAGAACTTGAAGAAAATGATCACAGGAAACTGAAGAAGCCTTAAGACTGTTGAGCTTTGAGGCAACAGATTGGGATGCACTGTGCCAGCCAGGGGGAGGACATCAGGGATATGAGTGAGTGTGGGAATGACAATACAAGGTTCTGTGTGGACAACACTAGCTCAACACTTCCCCAATAATACGCCCAATGTCACTGGTGACATGAAGGAACTTCTAAACAAGAAAACATAGCCTTTAGTGAGTAAGACAGGGAGGAAATTAATCAGGAGTATACTGAAGCAACTTAGATTAGAGACGGTAAGGATGTGTACAGGAAGGAGCAAAAACCCCTGCAGAAGAATATAATGGATGTTTGGTCAAGGATGAGGAAGATCACAGGCTTTAGGCAGAAAGATTTATTACTTATAAATAAGTAAATATTTATTTATACAGCAACTTTTACTGGTCAAATATCAAAAAGGCCTTTACAATGCAAAAAAGTGTAAAAGAACTCAAAAGATAAGATTAACATCATACAACATAAAACTAGTAAAACTCCACTCTGAATGCATTTATCAGCTGTATCCACAGAATCAAGATGGTTCTTGGTGGCAACACATTACAAAATCTGGGGGTTACCACTCTAAAATACATTCTCTCTTGTCTCAAAATGTGTTTATGGAACCATTAACAGACTTTGACTGGAAGAAATTAGACTGCAAGAGTATGTAGAAGGTCAAGGAGATGGGTTTGGGTTTGACCACATAAGGCTCTAAAAGTCTAAGAGACTGCAATTTTAAAATTAATTCTTATTATTTATCTTGGGAACTATATTTATTTGATTTTCAGTGGCAAAATTTTGAGTTTCTACCTCATCAGAATTCACTTGCAAGAAGTTGACACAGAACTGAAATACTAAAAAAGCAGTCCATCAAAAAGGACAACGTTTGGCTTAAAAAAAACATTGGAGCTGAATATAATCAGTACAGAAACGATATGACGCATAAGAAAACGGTCTGGAGAAGAAATGTGTAAAATCAAGAGAATAAGCCCCAATACTAAGCCCTGTGGTACCCCTCATGTTGGAGTCCCACCTCTAGAACAGTCATCCAGTTGGTCTGCTGACTCAAATGTTTGTTGGTTCTTGTTAACAGGAGGCGTCCAGACGTTTCTCCATGCCCACTCCGGGCCTGGAGAGTCAGCAGAAGCAGGAGAACTTCATCCTGGGCAGCTCAACGTAAGCTTTCCAAAGCCCCACCTGTTTGTTTTGAGCCATGCAGCTTGTCTACTGTTACACGCCCTTCCACTTGGTCAGCTGTAGTTTACAATAAGCAGACAATGTTTGTTAGGTAACAGTGGCTTTCTGTGTGATGAAGTGACGGTCTGCCTCTGTGTGTGTCCTTACCTCAAATAATGTCAGCTACTTAAACTGAGCTAGTTTTGTCCATTTATGACACAAAGATTCAGCCAATCTAAAACAGCCAGGGCTCTAAAATAATTCAACTTTGACCGTGAATATGTCTTTACTGCCCCTGTTGTCGTCTTTCTTTATTTCTCTGAAATCTGCCCTTAAGTTGGTTTAGTGCTTCACAGTGCAAAAGTGTTCATACTAGGCCGGTCGCGATAAACGATAAATCAATTGCACGATAAATTAAACCTATCGATCTCATTTTAATTATCGGCTTTATCGTCTCTTCCTGCCTTTTTTCTTTCTGTTGATGACACTGAATGAAAAAGGGCTCAACTCCGGTGCTCTCCACTGACCCTCCCTTCCTCATTTCCTTTGTGTAATGTCCAGCGCACACAACACGAGTTGTCGGCCGACTGTCGGCCCATTTTCAAAACCTGAGAGACACATTAGCCGACAGAAATCCTAGGTATAACGGTTCAATCAGGTTCGATTGTGCCGTGTGGTGTCCAGCCACATGGACACAAAATAATGTGTCCATGTTATTTTGGACAAAATAACATGGACAGATTAATTAATCTGATTAATCAGATTAATTAATCTGATTAATCAGGCATTAATCAGATTAATGTCTGATTAATTTTAAAATCAGGCATTAATCAATGCTTTACTAAAATCTACCTGTGATGCATGTGGCTAGAGTCAGCGTAAAGTCCTGACTGAATGAAAATTATTGTAACCTATTTATGTCACGTCAACGAAGAACAGCTGAAAAGTTACCGGGTTTATCAACTGCGGTAGCAATTTGGCTCCAACTCCTCCTCTGGTCATTTCTATATTCTTTGCACGAAATGTTGAATAAACATTAATGTTGTTTCCACATATTATCTCCAATATCCCCTCGATTTTGGGTTGCGCTGTGTCAGGTGTTTGGGATTCCCCTCGTTATTTACCTTCAGAAAGCACAGAGAAGAATCCGCTCTTTCTGATTGGCTACCTGTCACATTCAGCAGGCTGCATTAAGCTCCCAGTCGAGGAAAACCCCTTAGATCGGAGCGGCCACCACGATCTGCAGTGTGTGGTAACACACCACACACTGTGTGGTAACACACCACACACTGCAGGATGATCGGTTACAAAATCACCAGCAGCAATCTTAGATCGACCAACAATCTAAGATTATCGTAAGGGGAAAACGGGGACAAAAAGTCGTGTAGTACAGCATTAGGTAGTCAGATGAGCCCATCTTCTTTATTTAAATCTAGTGATTACTGAAGCCCAATATAGTATACAGACTTCATAATCTGCACTCTTTTGGTTGAATG